ATAAAAGATAAGGAAGGGCACTATATGTAATGATCAAAAGCACATAAGACCAAGAAGAAATAAATGACAGACCTGAAAAATACATAAAACAATGGTTAACAAAATTGAAGACAGAAATAGCACCACAATAGGGGTAGGAGACTTTAACACACTACTCTTACCAAAGGACAGATCAATTTGAAAGAAACAAAAGATGGAGAAGATCTACAGTATGCAATCAGCAAACCTAACCTTGTGGATGTATTCAGGGTACTACACCAAACCAAAAATCAATTTACTTTTTCTTCTCAAGTGCACATGGCACATTCTCTAGAATTTATCACATATTAGGACACAAAAAAACCCCTCAACAAATTTAAAAAAGCAACAGCATTAAAATAATACTAAGTAGCTTCTCAGATCAAGTGCTATAAAACTAAAAATTAACAAAAGGGTAAAGCTTACAAAACCTCCCACATGGGTTGCCCGTCTTTTTCCCACAGAGCAACTGGCGAACTCAAAATGCATGCCTTCGGGACTGCTGAGCTGCTTCTTGCAACTAGGCCATCAGAGCTCCCTTCTTTTAGATTAATTTTTCAATTATTGCTTTCTCATTTTACTATCAAAAAGTAGACTCAGGAGCTTTTGCAGTGTAACTGTGGCAAATTACTTAATTACCTTTGTGCCTCATCTATAAAACATACAGATATCTATAGTACCTGTCTTACAGGGATGGATTAAGCTAATAATACCTGTAAAACACTGACAGAGTAGTTGAAATAATTTTATATGGAAAACATTTTATCCTCCCGTATCTTTCAACTGCCCATCTTTTATCTTTTCTTTCAAGGATTTTCAATTGCCTTTCATCAGTCTTTGCCTAGTTTTTTGATTAGGGTTATGCTTGCTCCATAGAACTGGGATGCGGTGAAGAGGAAAAGGTATAACAATGAGTAAATGAAAATTCGACTTTCCTGTAAACTTTTGCTAAAATCACAGTTAAAAAAAAGATCAACAACAACAACAAAAAATAATTGTTGTAAAAACAGAAAGATTATTAGTAAGATGTGTGTAAAAGTCCAAAGGGGGAGGGGAGTCCATCAGGTGAAGTTCATGAGTATAGTTGCCATTTATGTGGTTTTATAAAAAGTGTTTGCAATGAATAAATCATTTATTGCTCTCATACTCAGTTCCACAAGGAAAAATATTGTATAAGACCGTTACTCAAGAATGAATATAAGGATCCAGAAGGGGTGGAAGAGGCTGGAAGCAGAGGGATGTGGATGTACAGGGGGGAGAGAGGATTAATCATTGGACTGTACAATTTGATGGGGGGTTGAGGGAAATTGCAAGAATTTGTTTGCATTTGTATTAGAATTTTGTAAATAAACTAATGAAAAGGAAAAAAAAACCACTTCATTGTTGCATAATCCTCTCTCTCCCTCTCTCCCCTCCCCAGTCCATTTTGCTATGCACCTCTTATTCTGGACTGTTGTGGGGGGAAAAAATTCCATCATTCTATCTCTAGACTCATTTCTTTCCCCAGGGAAATACTTCAAACTACTAGTCCTTCAATCCCACCTCTTGCATTCCTGTCATCAATTATTGCTAACGCATCTTGACTGCATATTTGATCAATTTCAAACTGCATTAAGTTGGCAGATGTCAGCATTTGATTTTAGTGGTATATTTGAATAAAATAACTACCTTGTATACATATGGACAGTATCCTATCACTCACAGCACTATACTTCAGTATAGATCTTGAAATGCTCTTTTTATCAATGGATGGCAAACTATTCCTCTTCATTTGTCATTTCTGGTATATTAAATCATGTGACTGTCTGATTCAAAATGTCCAATATCAATCTCAGCTCCAATCTCAGCTCACTAATGCCTAGGATATCGTTCTTTTTAAGTTCTATTTCATTTCTGACAACTTCCAATTTTCCTAGATTTATCCTTCATATGCTTCATGTTCTAATTACTATTGGTAGCTTGCAGCTGTTTCTCATCAATTTGAGTCTGACCACATCAACAAATAAAGATTCTTCACTGGGTGAAAGCTTTATTCCATCAGCTGCCCTACTTTGAGAGGGTAGCTCTTTCCAAATCACATTCTGTGTGCCTTCCAAATGGGACTCATCTTTTGTTGTTTTATCCAACAACGCTGCACTATTGTCCATAGGCTGTTATTTCAGAAGTGGATAGTAAGTCTAGCTTCTTACTCTTGAACTTATACTGAAATTTGTTCACCACAGGTGAGCTTGCTATAATTTGAAATACCAGTGAAAGCAGAGAATACTAGAAAGATGCTTACTTGCGTTTTATTGATTATGCAAAGGTATTTGACTATGTGGATCATAATACATTATGCATAACACTTAGAAAAAAATGGGAAGTCTAGAAAACCATTAGCTTTTTAAAAACTATCAGTATCTAAAAACATTAACTGTCAGTTTCTACTTGACAGCAATGAGTTGAATTCTTAGTTATATAATTCAAAGAAAGTGACACTTCCTAATTTCCTTTGCTTCTAGAGAAAAGAACACTCTGGTGGCCTAGTGATAAAAACTGTAATCTTAAAGACATGGTTCATAAGAACTTGGTGGTTCAAATCCACCAAATAGGCAATCTCCTCTCTTGCAATTTTTCCTGCCTCTGGACGGTCAGCTATTAACTCAGTGGTACTCAAAAATACATCATTCTAGAGAAAAGGGGTATTTTTATCATCTTAAAGTTTTCAGATTACACCAAATGATTTGTGCAAATGAATGTCCCTCCCTTACTCCCCAGGCTAGATACTACCTAATATCCAACCAATATCCTTTGTTTTCAGAGTTCAACCAATTACATTAAGATTAGCCAGTGGCTGATTTTCTGTTCTTCTCCCTCTTCTTTTTACAAGCTTCATTTACTTAGCCTACACTGCTTTTTACTTTGTTTTAGAATCATAATTAAATTTCAAATTTTAATTTTTTAATAGTTTGGTTACGTTTTAACATTTCCATCCAAATCCACATACAGATACTTTCAAATATAAGACTGTGAGCCACAGTAACATTTAGTGATGCAGAAACTGAACTGCAACTTCATATATTCAATTATAATAAGCTATTTCTTTAAATAAACAAGAAACCAAACCCAATACACATTATGTTCCAATTTGGACTCACAGTACCTTAGGATTTCTAAGGTTGTAAAATATTTACAGAAATGTTGTTGTTATGTGCCGTCGAGTCACCTGCGACTCATAGCGACCCTATGTACAAAAGCCCTAAACTCCACTCTGTCCTGTGCCAATCACACTGTCTCTGACACTCCCATCCCAATTATCCCAGTCACTGAATCAATCCACCTCATAGAGGGCCTTCCTCTCCTGCGCTGTCCCTCCACCCTCCCAAGCATGATGTCCCTCTCCAAGGACCCGTCCCTCCTGGCAACATGTCCAAAGTATGTTAGACGGAGCCTCAGAATCCTTGCCTCCAAGGAGCCACCCATTTAACCCTTTCCAGGACAAATCTGTTTGTTTTCCTAGCAGTCCATGGTATTCTCAATACTCTTCTCCAGCACCACAGCTCAAAGGCATCAATTCTCCTTCTATCCTCCTTGGTCATTGTCCAACTCTCTGATGCATAACAAGTGATTGGGAAGACCAAAGCCTGTATCAGACGCACCTTAGTCTCCAAAGAGATACCATTGCTCTTCAGCACTTTGGAGAGGTCCCTAACAGCAGACTTTCCCATGGCAATGTGCCTTTTAAATTCCTGGCTGCTGGTGCCAAGACTGTTGACTATGGAGCCAAGCAAACTAAAGCTGTGTACAATCTCAATCTCTTCACCATCCATCCTGATGCTGCCAATTGGTCCAGTGGTGAGAATCTTTGTCTTCTTGACATTGAGCCTCAATCCATATTGTAGGCTGCAGTCCTTGACACTCTGCAGCAGGCGCTTCAGGTCCTCCTCAGTTTCATGTGTTTACAGAAATAGGATGTAATTAAAGAAATTTCTTTTAGAGAAATTAAACTCTTAACCACTGCACCACCAGGTCCCCTTGTTGTTGTTAGGTGCCATCAATTTGAATACAACCCACAGCCACATTATGAACAAAAGATATGAACCCCATCCTATCCTATGCCATCCTCATACTTCCTAACAAACTAGAATCCATTGCAGCAGTCACTGTGTTAATCTACCTAGTTGAGAGTCTCCTTCATCAACCCTCTGCCTTTCCAATCATGATGTCCTTCAAGAAATAGCCTCTGCCATGTCTGAAGTATCATCTTTTATCATCTTTGCTTCCTAGGAGGAACTCTGGCTGTACTTTCTCCAAGAAATATTTGTTCTTTTGGTAGTCCACAGGATATTCAATACCCTATTCCAACATCAGCTCAAAGGTAATAGTTCTTCTTCTGTCATTTATTGTATAGTTCTTCAATGTATAGCAAGTGATCAGAAAGACCATGGCCTGAATGAGATGCACCTTAGTTCTCATACTGACATCATTGATCCTTAATAATCTACAGCTCTCATGATTGGATCTTGGTTTTAACAAATTAGCTGTGATGGATATTTTTAAGACATTTAGGAAATGCTGCATATGAACTACTATTAAATCTGAAATTTGCTTCAAAGTATATTAGCATTTAAAAACACAACTGATTTTAAAAATAACAAAGACAAATGAAGAGAATATAAAATTCTACTGAGCTTAGCTCACTGCAGTTAAGTCAGAACCTCACTCTCCAAGTGGTATTCAGAGGCTGTACAGAGTATTGGAAGAAACTGACCATCCTTCCCCCTGGTGGACTCGAACTGCCTGCCTTTGGGGTAATGATGCAACTCCTTACTTACCCATCAGACCACAAGAGCTATTCACCTGTAATTCAAAACTCTTTTAAAGTATTTTTTTTATTTTAAAGTATTATTAAACAGCACTGCTATTTAATAAAATTTGGTTTTCCTTCCTAAGCTAAGACTTTAAACAGAATACATACATTTTCAAAAGATTTGGTAACTTACCCCTGGCATATATTCCATAAATATAGAAAGTGTTTTTTCCTGGGGATCCCTTAAGCAGCCATAATATTGAACAATTCGCTCATGTAGCAAGTTTTTCAACAACTGAATTTCACACTCAAGTGCATTCACTTCCTGAAAGACAGAATTCACCTTTAAGCCCTTGTAATTCTGATAGATAAGGAAAAAGTTTTCAACTTCACAAACCACCATGTGATGTTGTTAAGTGCTGTCAAGTCACCTGCAACTCAATAGCAACGCTATGCATAATAGCTCTGAAACCTGTCCTATCTTGAGCCAATCTGTCTCCAATATATCTGCCCCTATTAGCCCAGTCACTGTGTCAATCCATCTGGGTCTTCCTCCCCTCAGTGTCCATCTACCCTTCCAAGAATGATGTCCTTCTCCAAGGATTGGTCCCTCCTGGCAACATGTTCAAAGTATGTGAGATGAAGCTTCAAAATCTTTGTTTCCAAGCAGCAACTTGGTGTCACACTCTGAAAGACAGACTTGTTTATTCTCTTGGCAGTTCATAGTATGTTTAATACTCTTCTCCAATTCCTCTTCTCTCACCCTCATTCAATGTCCAGTTCTCTGATTTACAGCAATTAATTGAGAAGATCACTCCCTGGACAGGCACACCTTAGTCTCTAGACTGATACAGACACACCTTAGTCTCCAGACTGTTATCTTTACAATTTAGCACTCTGGAGAGATCTCTGACAGTAGATTTCCTCAGTACAATTCATCTTGTGATTTCCTGACTGCTGGTGCCAACAGTGTTGAGTGAGGACCTGAGCAAGCTGAAATTATTAACTATCTCCATATATCATGGTGCTGTCAATTGGACCAGTGGTGAGAATCTTTGTCTTCTTGATGGTGAGCTTGAATCCATAGTGAAGGCTGCAGCAGATGCTTCAGGTCCTCCGCAGTTTCAGCCAGCAAAGTTGTGTCATCTGCATCACACAGGTTGTTTATGAGTCTTCTTCCAATTCCAATGTCATATTCCTCCTTTTAAAAGTCTATACTCTTGAATGATCTGTTCCGCATACAGAATGAAAAGGAATGGAGATAGGGTGCATCCCTGATGCACTCCCTTTCTTATTTTAAACCATGCAGTGTTTCCTTGCTCTGTGCTAAGGACTGCCTCCTGGTCCAACTATTCCAACTATAGGTTTACATGAGCATAATCAGGTGTTCTGGGATTTCCACTCTTCTCAAGGTTAGCCACAATCTGTTGTGATCCACACAGCCAAATGCCTTTGTATAGTCAATGAAACAGACATTCTTCTGGTATTCTCTGCTTTCAGCCAAGATCCATCTAACATTGACTCTATCATGTCCCTAGTGCCACAGCCTCTTCAAACACAGCCTGAACTTCTGGTAGTTTTCTATTGATATATTGTTCCGGTCATTCTTGGACTATCCTGAAAATGATACTCACTACAAAATAATAAAAAAAATTCTACTGGTTCTAAAATAATATTTCTAACAATTCCTGATGGCATCCTAGGATTTAACTGGTAAATAAAATTAGGATTTCATTGATATATAAAAAAGGAAAAAAATGCACAGTACAAAACAGATAACTAGTTACTTGATTTGTCAAATATTCTGTATCTGTATGTGCTATACTATACAAAAAAACTACTTATAATTGACAAAAGCAACTTGGGCAGTGGTTCTTACCTTGCTGGTCTCTGGGCTATCAGGATCAAACTGGACTTGTTTAACAGCTAATTCTCTTCCTGTGTCAACGTCATAACAGAGGTAGACCCTGCCAAAGGCTCCTTGGCCCAGCAGTTTGCCCAATCTCCAGTTGGTTGGAGCACGAGGTGCTGAAAAAAGAATACTCTTAAATGGAATAGTTAGATGACACATAAATGACTAAGGGCTAAATGAGAATATTTCAAAGGAGACATCCTTAATTGAATATGCTTGCATATAAGGGAAATTATAATCATCTAACTTCACAACAGTTGTCACCTTTCTGAAACTTTTTTGCAGTTCATGATCCATGAATGACTCATTCTTTTACAAATTTTTTCCTAAGATAACAGTGATTGTATTACATATTACTAATCCTTACTACAGTGATAAATGCATTTAGTTTTTCAGCTTCCACCTACAAGAAAGTTATAAGCATTAAAAATGTACCCACATTTCACAGCTAGGAATATACCTCAAGGAAATTAGAACTGAGATACAAATGGAGATTTGTACACCAGTGTTGATAGCAGCATTATTTACAGTTCCAAGAACATGGAAATAGACCCTCTATGAGATGGATTGATTCGGTGACTGGGGTAATCGGGATGGGTGTGTCAGAGGCAGTGCGGTTGGCGCAGGATAGAGCAGGGTTTAGAGCTGTTGTACATAGGGTCGCTATGAGTCGGAAACGACTCGATGGCACATAACAACAACAACATCCAATTATAATTGAATGGACTGAGAAATTGTGATACATTCACTTGATGGAATACTATGCATCACTCATGAACAATGATTTTCAAAAATATTACATAACTTGGGAGAGACTGGAGAGCAGTATGGTGAGAGAATGAATTCAGTCTCATAAGGGCAAATATACATAAGACCATTATTTTAGAAACAGAAGGATAACTATTAAAATGTGTATGGGGCTCCAAGAGAGGAAAGAGTGGAAGCAGAGAGGGGTGATGGTGTCCATAGGAGAAATCAAAGGGTCACACAATTTTCTGGGGTGGAGAGAAGGAGTAAATAAAATGGGAAAGATCTACTGGAGACCTAAAAGGATGATTAATTGTGCCCCCCCCAATGGTGATTAATTTTATAAAACATAGTATATGAAATACATTGTATGAAACACAATGTCAACAAAGGAATGTGTGGAAAACACTGTATACAAATTTTCTATGCAAACCAATATAAAAAAGAATATGTAAGGAATACACAGTTAATATATCAAAAAAGAATTAGTTGGCACTGAGACATTTTAGGCAGTAGAATTTGATCAAGAACCAATGGTAATCAAGGAAGAAGTTAAAGCTGTACAGATGGCATTGGCAAAAAAAAAAATAAGGCCCAGAAATCTATGGGATACCAATTATATTTTAACTAACAGAATGCAGCTCTGGACATACATGCCAGTTTGTACCGGGAAATGTAGCAGACAGCTACCTGACTGACTGAAGAGATCCATATTTGTTCCATTCCTAAGAAGGGGGATCCAGCAGAACGTGGAAATTATTAAGCAATAATACCAGATGCAAGCAAAATATTGCTGAAGATCATACAAAGATTACTAAAACAGTACTTTGGCAGAGTACTGCCAGAAATGCAAGCTGGGTTTAAAAGAGGTCATGGAATCAAGGACATCACTGCTGATGTCAGATGGATCCTGACTGAAGGCCCAGAATGCCTGAAGAATGTCTATTTGTGTTTTATTGACTATATAAAGGCATTTTACTGTGTGGACCTTAGCAAACTATGGCTAACTTTGAGAAAAATGGAAATTCCAGAATACTTAACTCTTAGATAAAACCTATATTTAGACCAAGATATTGTTTTCTGATAAGAGCAAAGGAACACTATATGGTTTAAAATCAAGAAAGGTTTCTGTCAGGGCTGTACCCTTTCTCTATACATATTCATTCTGTATACTCAGCAAACCATTTAAAAAACTAGACTTTATGAAAAAGAATGTGGCATTAGGACTGGAGGAAGACACATTAACAACCTGTGTTATGCAGATGACACAACCTTATTTGCTGATCGTGAGGCCTTGAGGTGCTTGCTGCAAACGATCAAGGACTACACTCTTAAATATCGATCACATCTCAACATCAAGAAAACAAAAGTTTTTACCACTAGATCGATAAGCAACATTATGATTGATAGAGAAAAGTTTGACATTATCAACAATTTCATTTTACTTGGCTCCATAACCAACACCCTTAGTACCAGCAGTTAGGAAATCAGGAGTGAGACTGCATTGGGCAAGTTTGCTGTCAGGGACATCTCCGAATTACTGAGAAGGCAATGATGCCAGTTTGAATATTAAGGTGCACCTGATTCAGGCAATGGTCTTTTCAGTCACTTTCTATACATCTGAGAGCTGGACAGTGAATAAGGATGATGGAAGAATAACTGATGCCTTTGAATAATGGTGTTCAGAAGAGTACTGAATATTCCATGGACTGCCAAAAGAATAAAAAGACATGTCTTTCAGAAAGTACTGTCAGAGTGCTCCTTAGAGGCAAGGATTGGCAAAGCTTTGTCTCACAAATCTTGGGAAGGTTGTTAGGAGAGACCATTCTTTGGAAAGGGGTATCATACTTGGTAGAGTGGAGGGTCAGTGAAAGAGAAAAGACCTAAAATGAGATGAATGATAACTGTGTTAGGGATGATCAGGGTGGCACAAGATAGGACAGAATTCAGCTCTGTTGTTCATAGGATCACTGAGTCATGTTCGGCTTGACCTAACAACAACAACAACAAATGTTTACAATGGATTTCCAGAAAGAGACATGCTAGAAGAATGAGTTACCATAAAATTAGACTTCTCCACCCTTCTGTTATCATCCAGTAAAAAGCTGAATTATATGTACTTGTATTTGATTGGTTAATCAAGTAATCTCATTTATGTGTTATGGACCCATCACTGTCAAATACTTGCATATCAATATCCCACCCTTGACTGTGATTTTCACTTCCTGATCCAACAGTGTAAGAATGTACCCTGTTTTATGGTCTAGTGGAGTGGCTGTTTTCACTGAGAATGGGTGTTTCTCTGTTTGGAACCAACTCCTTTTCTCCTGAGTAAACGTCATTTTTTCTTAATGTTGTTAATGATAAAATTAACTTAAAATAGGTACCAGATTGGGTGCTAACCCAATGAAAGCATTTAGTTGTTATCTAATTATTTTCCTTAGGAAAATCATCATTTTACAATTTAATAAGTAGATTCTGGCAAGGATCATCAAATGTAAAAATGATTGAGAGATTACTGCAGATCAGCATATTCACACAAAGTTTTACCTCAGAGATTATTATTAATTATCAGGAAAGTGGGTCTGAGTAATGCAGAGGTGTAATGGGCAACCACCGTAACCAAGTGATCAGACTTACCATGGCCAGTAATGGATGAATCAATATCATATGCTTTCTGATGTGACATAGCAGGATATACACATCCACATATTTATTGATGTATTATTTTTGTAAAAAAAAAAATTAACCTGGTTCTAATTGAGAATGAAAATATATCAGTGGCATGACTTTATGTATGTATGTGCTTTCACGCTATGCACCATTCTGGATTAAAGATAAAAGGATATTAAAAAGTCTTGACAAACAAGAAAAAAAAATGTACCCACAGCCATCAGGACAATTCTGACAGCAACCTTGTATTGGTTTTTATAGAAGGCTTTCTATTTTTATGGAAGGAGATGGCCTATCTTTATACCATATGATGGCTGGTAGATTGAAAGCTCTGGCCTTCAGTTTGACAGCCTAACATTTTACATGCTAAACCACTAGTGCTCCTTAGAGCATTGTTTTGTTGTTAGGTGCCAAGAGTCAACTACAACTCATCGCAACCCTATGAACAATAGATTAGAACTTTGTGCTATCCTGCCTGGTCAATATAAGCTCTGCCATGCGCAAGATCATTGTTACAGTCATTGTGTTAATCCACCTCCTTGAGAGTCTACCCCTTTCACTGACCTATCTTTCCCAGCATGATGTCTTTTTCCAAAGACTGATTCTTCCTGACAGTTGTCCCTCCAATGTATGGTGAGGCAAAGTTTCACCATCCTGTCTATAAGGAGCATCTGATTATACTTCCTCAGAAATACTTGTTTGTTCTTTTGGCAGTCCATGGGATATTCAATATCCATCTCCAACATTACAATGCAAAGGCATCAATTCTTCTGTCGTCCTTATTCACTGTCCAGTTTTTAGATGCACAGGAAGCAAATGAAAATATCATGACTTGGATCAGTTATAGCTCAGTCTTTAAAGTGACATCCTTGCTATTTTCACTTTAAAAAGAGGTCTTTCTTCTGATGAATTTTTTGCTTCATGGCTATTTTCCTACCAGTCAATGTATTGCCTCTCCAGGTCTTCCAATGAGTCCTGGTGGTGCAGTGTGTAAAGCTATAGACTAGTATCAAAGGTTTGTGGTTTAGATACAGTGTCTGCTTTGCAGGAAGAAGAGGTGGCAGCCAGTTCCCATAAAGATTACAGTCTTGTGACCCATGTGGACCATCTGGGACCCTACTCTATCATGCATGATAGCTGTGAGTCAGACTCTGCAATAGCAGTTGCTTTTGTCTTACCTTTTAAATTAGCAAATGAGATCCATGGTGCATACAAAATGGAGTTTCAAAATCTTAGACTCCAAGGAGAACCTTGGCTTCACCCTCTCCAAAACAGATCTACTTGTCTACTTGTTTTCTTGGCAGTCCATGGTATGTTCAAGACTCTTCCCTAGCACCACAACTCAAAGGCATCAATTCTTCTTCTGTCATCCTTAGTCACTGTCCAGGTTTGATGCATAGCAAGACCATGGCCTGGATTAGGCAAACCTTAGTCTCTAGACTGACATCGTTACTTCTCAGTACTCTGGAGAAGAAATCCCTGACATCAGATTTATCTAATGTAATTAATTTTTTAATTTCCTGATTGCTTGTGCCAAGAGTGTTCATTGTGGAGCCGAGTAAGCTATGATTGTTACCAACCTCAATCTCTTCTCCATCGCATGGTGCTGCCAATTGGCTCAGTGGTGAGAATCTTTGTCTTTTTGATGTTGAGTTTCAATCTGTATTGAAGACACAGATTTTGACCTTCTGTAGGA